CTCCGCGCCCGCGTGCGGGGCAAGTGCGCAGGGCTGCGCGCCCGCCCCTCCGCAGCGCAGACGTGCAAGCACCCCAATAAATACATAAAATAAAAAGAAAGGTCGCGCCGGCACCGCCGCGCCCTCTCGGTTGCCGCTGCTCGGGCGAAGCGTCCAGGAAAAGCCTTCCCGATGGGAGCCGCGACCCGTCCCGATGGGAGCCGCGAAATAGCTTCAGAATGAACATCCCCGCCTTCCCTCCCCCCCCAAGAACACGGTTCCTTCCCAGATAACTCAGCCGTGGCCGCGCTATGGCAAAATCACTACAGAGCGGTGCACGCAGTGTATCTGTTTATGTGAGCTCGGAGCTCCGCTGGGCCCTTGAACGTTGAATGTTGCTTTAGAAATGGCTAATTAATTGCATCCTGGAGAAAATGCCATTTTATAGATTTTATAGATTTTTGTTACATTCTTCRGCAGAGGATCTGCATCAGTTTGCACGGAAAATTCATCTTAAACACTGTTTTGTAATAAAATAAACCGTAGAAAAGCGAATCAAACACACTTTAGAATCCGCTCATAAACTGCATTCCCTGGAATATTTTACGGACAAATTCGCTACAGCTTCTTTTGTGCTTTTGTCCCTCCAACATTCACRTTTTCCGAGACTTGACTCTGGAAAACAAATTTTAAAAAACAACTATAGATTTAACATATAGGGCACGTAACACTTTTGCTGCCCTTCACCGTGAGCAAGTAGGCTCCTCTGTCAGAGGAACTCAGGTTTGCCTTTTTTTTTTTTTTTTTTCCCCCTAATAGCTTCCAAAATTCTGAGCGTTTTCGAGTAACTGCCGGAAGGCCAAACTATTTTTCTTTCGTAAGATATGAAGACGTAGCTTATACAGGAATATTGAAACCACCTGTAATCGAGAGTGAATGTATTTCTTCGGCAAATGACAGCATATGCACGTGTATATGTGAAGCTCGTTCAGAAGGARAACCTAGGCACGACTTCGGTTTGGTTTTTATTATTGAGGCGAAACCGAAAAAATAGAAGCGATCCTTGCGAGGATGTGTGAAAGAACACAGTGAAAGAAACGCTTGATTAGATTTGCATTAACTATTTCGACAGAGGAAAGTATTTTCTCCCTGCGTTCCCGCTCGGTTCCCCTCTCCCAAGCCGATGACCTGACAGCGACTCTGTTGATTTCGGATCGGATCAAACGACTCCGCTTTAGCTCGGGCTTCTGCGGCCGGGCAGAGCCGGACAGCAGACAGGTTTGCCAAAGTGCAACGAAGTGTTTTATAGCCTTTGCATTCGACCTGCGCAAGTGAACATTATTCGTAGTATTGTTTTTGCTGTTGATGTTACTACTATATCGCCCCGGGACCGCACGCCAAGAAATGAGGGAGGAGAAAGGGAGATGATTTTTTCTCTCTCTCTCTCTTTTATTTTTTATTTTTCCTTCTCTGGCTCTCTGTCTTTTTTTTTCTCATTTTTTCTTTTCTTTCTTTTTTTTTTTTTTTTTTTTAAACCTCTCCCCTCTTGAGAGCGTCGCTTCCCTCCGCACCCCGCACGCCTGGGGTCGGGCAGCTCCCAGTGAGACTCGCCGCCCCTCCCGGGCACCCGGGCGGCCCTTTCCCTACCCGGGGAGCGCGGACCGGGGCTGGGGGCGGGGGGGGGAGGCCTGGCAGCCCTCGCGGCCTCCCCGCACCTCGCGACACCCCCCATCCCGCCCGGGACTCCCAGTTTTCGGTCCTCCCCACGGGCCGACACTCAAGACAAGCACGAGGTCGGCGCTTTCGACCAGGACGGACGAAAATAACCCGAAAAGGAAACATTAAACACGTTGCAGCTGAAGCACTTGACCCCCGGGCTGGGCCCCGGGCTGGGAAGCTGGAAAATCCCGAGCCCCGCGCAGCAGCAGGTGCCTCCTGGGCCTCGACGGTGGCCCCCGYGCATCCCCCCCGCATCCTCCGCGCAGCGAAACCCGCGGTGACACAGGGCACCTGCCTGGAGGGGCCAGGGCCGCCTCCTGGCCCGAGGGCCGGGGCCGCCGCGAGCCGCGGAGCGGGCCCTGCCTCCCGGGCCAGGCCTCCGTGGGGACACCCCACGTCTTTAGTGGCCTCCTCGCCCTCGGGGCGCAGCTACATGCGAGCCCCTCCTCTCCTCTCCGCGCAAAGAGCGAGGAGGCTGCAGGAAACCCGGGGCTCGCTGCAGTCCAGGTCATCTCCTGTTTTTTTGAGAGGTTCCAACTCGGACTAAATGAGCGGATGTGCCTGCTAGATTTGTCCCAAAATAGAAGCGGCTTTAGTATTTTAGGATACAGCAGAAATCCTTATTTCTTCCGGAGAAAAACTTCATAATGAGCGCGAGCACTTCCCTTTTCAATATTTGTGCAACTTTATCTCGACCAGCAAGTTGCTTGGGTGACGCAAATCCGCCCTTGTGTATTGCAACTACAAAAATAAATGCAAGGAAATCAATTCCCTTCTAGCAATGAAAACATAAATATACAGCTGCGACTTTCCCCTTTAATCTCGCTTTCCGAGGGACTCGAGAAGAAGGCGAATGAACTATGCAGGCAGCAGCGATGCTTTTTTTTTTTTTTTTTTTTTTTGGAATGGAGTCTCGAGGGACTTTTTTTTCCCCTCTGAGGCCGACAAAGGAGGTGGAAAAGATTATTCGAGTTCTTAACAGGGAAGGGAATAACAATAATAATAATAATAATAATAAAAGTCTAGCCTTAAGGCGCTGCCGGCAGCGGGCCGGGCGCATCCAGGGAAGGACCGTGCACAAGACTGCGGGAGCCCCAGCGGGACGGGGGATCCGGCGGGAAGGGAGATCTGGAGGGAAGCGGAAAAGAGGATCCTGACGAGCCCCTGAGAGGCTTTGGGGCCGCGGCTGTCCTCGCCGTATAAGCAGAACTGGGCTGGGGGGGCTGCTCTGGCTGCATGCTCGTGTATGTGCTTGCGCCGTATAAAAATGTATACGTCTTTTATATAAGTAACCCCGCCGGGAGACACCGCTTACGGGCAGCTGTTGGGCCCTGCTACCGGCCCCGCTGGTGCTGCCGTTGCCCCCGTCCCACGCGCCTCTCAGCGCTGCCTCGGGCCCGCAGGACGGCAGCGCCGCTCGGCCCGGCCCGGCCCGGCCCGGTCCAAAGCCGCTTCTCTGGCGCCACCTGGCGAGCAGCCGCGGCGCTGCGCGGGGCAGGGCGCTGCGCGGGTGCTGCGCGGGTGCTGCGCGGGGCATGGCGCTGCGCGGGGCAGGGCGCTGTGAGGGGCAGCGCGCTGTGAGGGGCAGGGCGCTGCGCGGGGCAGGGCGCTGCGCGGGTGCTGCGCGGGTGCTGCGCGGGGCATGGCGCTGCGCGGGGCAGGGCGCTGTGAGGGGCAGCGCGCTGTGAGGGGCAGGGCGCTGCGCGGGGCAGGGCGCTGMGCGGGGCAGGGCGCTGCGCGGGGGCTGCGCGGGGCAGGGCGCTGCGTGGGGCAGGGCGCTGTGAGGGGCAGCGCGCTGCGCGGGTGCTGCGCGGGTGCTGCATGGGGCAGGGCGCTGCGCGGGCCAGGGCGCTGCGCGGGTGCTGCGCGGGTGCTGCATGGGGCAGGGCGCTGCGCGGGTGCTGCGCGGATGCCGCGAGGGGCGTATTTAACCTCCCGCTTTAAGCGCCTGCAAGGGCCCGCAGCAGCAGCCTGCCGCGGACACTACCTGAGGTCTATCTACTTCACTTGCCAGCACTACGCGCTTTTGCCCCGAGAGGCTCCAAGTGCTGCCTTGGGGCTGCCGAGCGTCACCGCAGGCAGCGTCCCTGGGACCTGCAGCCAGAGGCGGCCCACAGGAACGCGCCGCGGCACTGSGGGTGCTTCCCCCAGCCGAGCAACAACTTGTTGCTGGAAACGCGTGACAGGCAGCAGCTGCCCACAGCCACAAGCRAAGTGGGCAGCTGTGCTCGCCAAGGGCTCCATGCTGCTCTGCCCTTGAGCAGGGCTTTGCTTGCCTTGGTACCTGGGCCAAGGAGCAACGACTGTGCTGGTTATGACTTTTGCTTGAAAGCAGGCGGCATCTGGGTTTCCATGGGCAGGAGAGGATTTCAGTCTGCTTGGGCACGTTGATGTAAGTGTTAGAGCTGAGATCAGGATCATTATCACCCACCAGCTGTGGACTTGTATCACGAAGAGGCTTTGGGGTGCACAGGAATGCTTAGTGGGAGTTCAGTCCACAGGACATGCTAAAATTAGTCTTAAATTAAATTAAAATATAGATATGTCTTTAAAATAATTAATTATACAAT